TTGTATCAACCCCCCACCCCCGTCCTTTTTGAGGGAAACATTTTCTTTAATAAAATAAATATTTATATTTTGTATTTTTTTAAATAAATGTTTCGATTTTATTAGATTTTATATTATAATTTGTTAGTAATTTTAAACAAGTGATCGATATTTGTGTTATTATAATATAGGATAAAAATTGAATGAAGGATTTTCCTCGTGGTTTGTAAAATCTATATAAGTAAAAAAGATATATAACAATTAGTATTTGATTTGAAATATTAATCGTTTATATTATTGTGATCACACTTTCATTACAATTTTATTCTAAACATACTAATCATTTATATTATATTCAATATATTGATCGTAATAAAATATTTTTGAAAATGTTCTTGATCTAATAATAAATAAAGAAACTTAATGAAATGTTTCTTCCGTTCTGACTTTCTGTCTTTCTCGAGATGAAGAAAAAAGAAGAAGAAGAAGAAGAAGCTTTTCAATGCACGACACTCGAATAAATCACTTACTCTTGAGTAGTATACTAGTTTAAAGACTCATTCGTCGTCCTATCTAACTCAGTGGGTGGTCTCGTAGGCAGTAATCGGGTAGAAAATTCAATCGCGATCTGACTTTCGCGTCGATAGTTCCGCTCATTGTTGTTGATTCGATTGGCGAATAGGTGGTTTCGAATAAAGAAAGGAAGGAAGGAAAAAAAAAAGAAAATAAAGAAAAGGGGGGAAAAAAAAATAAAAAAAAGATTTGCCGGTACGTACCGATTCCCTATATGTGAACTAAACTATTGCTAAACCCTTACAAACTAATCACGTTTCACCCTGGTAGCCACTTTTTTGATCTCTTTTTTCTCATTTTTCTTATATCATAATCTTTGTTTATCAATTCCATGATACTTGAATTAAAAATAATGATAGTATATGATATAGTATAGTAATATATATATAGAAATATAGTAATCATTTTACAAATATATTTTTTATCAATATATATTTATTATCCTAACGATTAATTAATTTTAATTTGTTACGATAGGCTTTAACGATTCCGAGCAATCGAATAAACTTCATTTTTCATCGATATTCTTTTTAAAAATAGGAAGGTTCGTTCCTCGTCGTGTAAATATTCTCCGAGGTATGTAACGAGGGTGACATGAAACCGAATGCAAAATGAAACGTAACAAGTTTTATTACGACCAATCCCTCCACCCCCACTCCCACCCCGGTGTATACTTTCGATCATTTTTTCTATTACCACCAAACTCTTATTTAGAGAATACGAATGTTCATTTGTTTCATTGACGAATTAGCTAATAGATTTTACAAAATTAATGCAATTTTTAGAATACTATTGGTTATATACATATATATATATATATATATATATAAAAATTCAACTAATATCATTGTTCTTAAAATAAGTTAAAAACTTAAACTCAGAACCTAAAGATCTTATTTTTCATTTATTTGACTTTATTTAAATAACATATAAAACTAGAAAAACTATTCAAACGTAATTATAATATACCGATTTGAGATACGTTTTGTTGATTCAAGTAGTATAAATTTTGACGGTTCGGGGTGGGGGGAAGGGGGAGGGAAGGGAAACAATAAAAAATATAAAAGAGATGATCCACGGCATGGTTTTTCCACGATGTCCGTCCGTCCGTCCGTCGTCCAATCACTTGTTGACATGTAACATACACATAAAAAAAATTCATCATCCTCCCATGTTACCTTGGTTATTCTGCGAGTTACGTTAATTGTCAATCTCTACCTGCTAATTTATCACTATTGTCGTGGTCGTTCGAAAAACAACGGCCAGGAGAATTGGTCTCTCTTATTGCTAGGATAAAACGTTTTTAAACTAAAAATGATAAAAAAAAAAAAAA